GTGGAACCTGCTCTGTCACAAGGGACCTTGTGCTCAGAAGGGCCGTGTGTTTGGTTTAATGCCCTGTTGTCGCCAATTTGAAATTCTTAATCATTTTTTGAAACAAGGGGCCTTGCCTTTTCATTTTGCATGTGGCCCATCAAATTATGTAGCCATTCCTGGGAGTAAGATTGGTTTTGTTTTGTTTTGTTTTGTTTTGTTTTGTTTTAACAAAGTCCGGTCTTTTTTTTTTTAGAATAGGGTGAAGGAGGGGCTCCCAGAAATTCTGTTAGACAATCTGTTCCAGAAGGATTGGCTGTTGCAGGCATCAAACAGTAAAAGATAAGATGACTGTTGTGTATTCCATTCATAGTCAGTCTAGTCTGTTCCTCATAAAGGGTAAAGTAAAGGGTAGAGATGCCTTAATTATCATTGAGAAGCAAATAATATAATTGGCAAATACTCATCTTTTAGACACTTGATCTTGGTGTCTACTTGTTTAAATAATTACTATCTTTTAGAGGCCTTTATGAGCTGATGTTAGAATAAATTATAATGTCAGCTTTCTGCTGGTTTATACAAATACTGTCTTTTAGCTTACACGATGACACAGGCCACTCTCCTGTGAACTTGCAGATAGACAGACATTGTGGCCAAGTCAAGTCCTTTTGATTATTTTTTTAGGTTGAGAGTCTTCACAAACATAGAGAACAAACTTATGGTTACCAGCGGGTAAAGAGGGTGGGAAGGGATAAATCAGGAGTTCGAGATTTTTTACCTCTTGGGGAGTGATGGAAATGTTGGCCACCTTGATTGTGGTGGTGGTTTCATGGGTGTATACGTCTATCAAAATTCATCAAATTGCACATCTGAAATATGTGTAGTTTACTGTACAGGGACCCTACCACAATAAAAGTGTTAAAAAAAAAAAGTTGAGTCTTACTCACTTATGCATTCAGTGAATGCATTAATATGCCCAACAAACAAAATATAAACAATATGTTCTATCAGCCATTCATTAAAACAGTAATAACCAGCTACTATGTATGTTATGAGTTAGTAATTTAAAGTTGCATAATTTTGTGAACATTTGCAGTAAATTTTGGGAGTTATTTCTCTCCTTAATTTGGCTGCATAAGTAAACTTCTTTTTTAAATTATTTTTTATTTCAAATCTTTTATTTTTCAGATGATCTTTACATATGTTTATTTCAACTTTGAGGAAAGGAAGGTGGAAAACTGGATATAACAGCTTGTGCCTTTGGGGGGGAACAGAAATCCTCAAAAGAAAGCAAATTCTCTTTTGTTCTTTTGTGGCTTCTTTGTGGAAGTCACCACCAAAATACTTTATGAAGTAACAGCTACAGAGCTTCCTTAGGTAGTCAAGTGATTGTCCGCCCCCAAGTTCATAGCAGCATTTGATGCCCCTTTGCAGGTTATATGGCACTTTGCTTCTAACCTCTTAAGTAGCTGTCACTGTAGTGTTTTTGTGTGTGGACTTGGCGCATCTCCTCTGCTAGAGATACGGCTTTTCCTCATCCCTAGAGAGCCGTGAGCATCAGAAGAGATACTGCTGGCTTGGACTAGGAAGCACCAGTAGCAATAGACAGAGTAAGACAGGGTCAGATTTGAGTAATATTGAAAGTAAAGATCATACCATTTCCTGGTTGATTAGCTGTGGGGTGTGGGGAGAAGAGAGGAGACCAGGTTGCCTCCAGCCTTTTATTTTGACCTGAACAGTTAGAAGGGTTCAGTTGCCCTTTTAAGAGACTGGGAAGAACAGCCTTTCAAGGGACAGGGAGGGAAATCATGAGTTCAATGTTGGACATCGATAGTACCTTTTAGACGTTAAAGTAGGGGTGCTCAGTAGGCAGTTAAATATGTGAATATGGAAGTCAGGGGATGGGTTTCATCTATAGGTGTGCTGCCCAATATGGTAGCCACTATTCATGTGTGATTATTTAAGTTTGGATTTAGAGAGATTTAAATTAAATACAAAGTTTTCTTTCTCAGTCACACTAGTATACTGGGGCTCAACAGCCGCGTGTGGTTGTGGCTGCCCCGGGGACAACATAGGGTTATAGGGATCTTCATCATCACAGAAAGCGTTGGAAAGCATTCATATAGAGCTATGAGCTGGGGAGTGGTCAACATGGAGGTTGCACTCAAAACCACAGGGCTGGAGGAGATCATGGAGAGGAGTGAGAACAGATAAACAGGAGAAGAGGTTAAGAGGTTGGTGATCACGTTGACATTGAATCATTAGGAAATAAGGAGGATTCAGCAAAAGAAACCAGCATGAAGATCAGTGAGGCCGGAAAGGAGGAAGCAGTCAAGTCTATCCACTGCTGCTGACTGGTTAAGACAAGGCCATAGACTGCTGGCAAGGACAAGGGGCCCTTGAAAGAGCAGTTCCAGTGATGTGTTGGGCAGAGATGCCTGAGAGAAAAGGACAAGGTGCGAATGAGGAAGTGTGTGGAGACCAAGAGAAAAGGCAACTCTTAGAGGGATTTTTGCTGTAAAGGGTAATGGTGAAATGGGACGTGAGATGGAGCGGTATGTTTGACATCTTGCTTGTCTTTGTCTGTTTCACAGTGATGACACGTTGATCTTCAGTCTTTTTTTTTTTCCCTCTTAAATGCATCCTGCTGTTCACAGCAAAATTTTAAAATGTTTTACAGTGAAACCATATGTCACGTATGGCTTAGGTTCTAGAATCTGTCTAAAAGGTGAAAGTAGAATGTATTTTACATGCCCATTGAAAGTGTGTTAAACCACTCTTAAATCACCAGACACTCAAAAGGCAAGAACTAATGTTAGTTTTTATTTTCTTTGCATTTCCATTGGGGATCCTTTTCCCCTGTGGCAGTACGAGTCAGGATCTAGTTTGAATGGGGTGGTCCTAGGAAGTGGAGTTAAGTGAGTGAATTTCTTTCTCTATGGCACCTGCACTTGAATCTGTCTGTCTGACGTGCATATGTGATAAACTCCACTGTACTGTGATATCATCCTGCTCTTCAGCCTCAGCGCCCTATAACTCTTAACGCATTTCACCTATAGTGCTGCCGCGCATACATGTGTGATATACTGCATTATTGTCTTCCCTGCAAGATCTCCTTGTTACTATTGCACAAAGGAAACAGCAACCGGAAGTGTTACACTTGAGATGCTGCTATAACTGAAGAAGTTGAGTTGAAATGTCTCTGAGCCATCAGTATGATCTTCTGAATGTAAATCTCTCAAAATTCTAGCTTGATTGTGAGTAAAACTCCCAAGGGTCTGTGTTTACATAATTTCACATGAAGACATTAACAGAAATGCTGCAAAAACTTCAAATAAGGAAAGCATACTTTTTATTCAAAATATATGAGATGTTATAATTGAATACGTTATTCCAAGAACAGTTGTGTGACTTAGCTGCAAAAAAAAAGAAAACGAATAGAAAGATCTTCAGGACTCGAAGACTCCTAGGACCTTGATTTTGAGAAGGATTTCACTGGTGACTAATGAAGATTTGGCATTTGTCAATTTTAATGGTGCCACCTATTGTGTTTTGTTTTGTTTTTGTTTTGGATCAGGGTGAGAGGAGAAAGAAGGCCCATCTATTAACATTTTGGTGGTTTCTGGGAAGCACCATGATTTGTTTTGTTGTATGACAAATGGTGCCTACACCATGGAATCTTCAGAGTAAGCCATCATATTTCTGGAGACATTTAAACTAATAGCAAAGTGGAAACCATTCAGTAGCACCCTAAGGAGTGGTCTGGAATAATGGAGGTCCTTGAACTGCTGCCACCCACCCAACTTTAATTGAGGTGGGATCCCACCAGACAGAGATAGAGCCAGGGGTTCCTATTTTTAACTGGAAGTCTGCTTGCTTCTTGGGCATGAGTGCCCAGTTCTGGTGGTAACAAATTTTCCACAAGACTCATGGGGTTGGAGAAACCCAGCTATTTATATTCATGCTTTGAGCTTGAAAGTAAAAAAAAGGAGTACTTAAGAAAAGAGAGGATCAGGAAGGGGGCAAATAATGTGTGTTGACCCGCACCAAAAACAAGGGAAAGGGTGCTGCTGTCCCGAGACACCTTTTGTTGGAGGTCCTAAATTCAGTCACCTGTGTGATCTTACTCAAGGTTTTCTTCTCCGGTTTCTTTTTTCCCCAATGAAATAATAGCTACATTATAGAGTTGTTAGAAGACTGTTTTCAGATAATGTATAGAAAAAGCCCAGCAGAGTGTCTGGCACTTGGGAGGTGCCAGTAAATGATTGCTCTTAATTTAGTAGTCAGTCAGACCTGATAGGATCAGATTTATCCCAAGTCCTTGCCCTTTTGAGGTCAAATCCATTCTAGTCTATATATTACCAACCCCTATTTCTGATCATCATTCTTTTTGTCTTAACTGCTCATTCTGGTGCACAATTAACACAGACTCTTCGGGGAAATTCTCATGGAAATCTGCCTGATTCTAAAGTTGATGGTAGGCGGTTCTAAATAAGGTATTCTAAGGTTTTATGAGTGCATCCCTCGTGCCCACCACCTGCTAGCATCAGGGGAGGGATTTTAAGTTGTAGCCCAGGATATATCGTAAAAATGTATATATGTAGATTTAGTTTCAGTCGTCATCTGTGGGGCACCACTGTGTGTTAGTTCCATGCTAGGCTTCCAAGTTGAATGTGAAGGTTGAGACCACATGATATAACCTTTCCTTCAACAGAATGTAAAAATAAATATTTTTGCTTTATTAATTGAATATACCTAGAATTGAGGGTATTGGGGGCTTAGAGTAAATATGTTTTCCCTATGATCAGTCTAAATCACAGTTTTGATGATATGGCCATCCACATTTTAAAGTATCATGGGAAAACTTAAAATCAATATAAAACATACTTAGGAACAATGTTGTGGACCAACTTTAAGGTCAAAATGTCATACAAATATCTTGAAGATGTTCAGTGAGATTTCTGGAATTCCAGGGTCTGACCTGTTATCTTGATCTCTGATTTGTATCTTCCACTGTCCAGATTCTGATGCAAGGCAAAAATCCGGGGATAGCTTGGAAGTATGCACTTCCCAAGGTCACGAACGGAACTCAGCCAGCCTCAAAAAGACACATCCACGCCTGGAGCACAGTGCAGTCAGATTGCTCCGTCTCCTGTGGTGGAGGTAGCCTATTTCCTAATTCCGTCTTCCAAGTCTCTTCTTAAAACAGGTTCCTCCACTCCAGGTCTCTTTAAATTGTATGGTTTAAATAAGCAACAAAAGAACTATCTTTATGGGAACCATCACTGTAAAAAAAGCAAATATTATTTGTACTCTTCGGGGATTTTCCTATATAGAAAGGAACCAACTCTCAAAAAACTCAAGTCAGCTACAACCAGGACTCAAAAGTTATGCAGCTGAAACTTACAGGGGAAAAAGCAACATATATATATTTATTTTTAATATAAAGATATTTATGTATGTATTTTTCTGCTTACAGTTTAGATTCTTTCTATCCTGACTTTTTGTTGTTGTAAACTACCCAGGGGATTTAGAGGAGGGAGGGGCAAGACAGTAAGGTCACGTGCAAGGCAGACTTAAGACAGCGATCTGACACATGGAGACGGTGTCATTCCATCCCCTTGCAGTGAGGTCAGCAAAGTCTTTATCTGCAGGGAAGTGGTTTAAATATGAGAAATAACCTTTGGAAGGAAGGTCTTTTATTTAGATCCAAAAATATCACATATATGTGCGTAAGTCACACTTGCCCCTTTGGGAAGAATGAAAGTCCATAAATAAGTCCATGAAACCAAAGCATGAAGGTTGGTCACTCATTTCCTTATGCCCAGAGCACCTGGTGACAGTCAGTCCTCGTACTGTATCTATCCCACTGAGTAAAATGGGGCATCTTGGAACCAGAAACAGAGCAGAAATATAGAAAATGAAGAAATTCTTAGGTCTGTAAGACCTGTTCTTCAGCTGCCCATGCTAGGTAACAAAATAGGAGGAAATGCTTCTTTTTAAAATACGTGTATATTGAGTAATTAAAAGGGAATATATTTTTATTCATAAGCATTTTAAAGGCAATATGCTATAAAGAAGAAAAATAATCTCCCAGAGTCCTTTAATCAGCAATAGCCAATGTTAATACTTTAGTCTATATCATTCTAGTCTTTTTCTTATGCAGACATAAAAATATGTGTTTGACATACTCAGACACATGCCACATATACTGCTTTTGTATTTTTTTTCGGCTAACAGAAACCATTGCTATAGACACATCTTTGTGCTCTTTTCACGTAGTCTTTGAACATGAGCAGTTGTTCATGTATCAAATGCTCTTTGAGATAGTTTGCAATAACTTCCTGTTATTTCAAGGAGAGCACAGTTCCTTGGGAAGGAGAGAGATTCAATTCATTTTCCATTTACAGGGAATAAATGCAGCCAAGGGGAAGATGTTGGACAAGTGCATTCTGGGATTCTCCCTTGCCTTGAGTTTGCAGTCCCTTCATGTGACTCCCGGACCATGGTGTGTCCGAGGCATAGGAGAAGAGTCCAAATGAATAATTTCTCCAGGAGCAAACTCTTAACTCTAGGGAATCCCAGTGTTTTTGATCAAATCCTCCTGAAAGTAAACCCACTTCAATTTAATCATTCTAGCAGGAGTGACTTTTCATTGTTGCTCAGTTTCTGTTTTAAGGAAAAGTCCATGGAAATAAAAGCACAGTTGAAAGAGGAGATAGTGTTCCTATGTCGGGAACTGAGAAATAGTTTATCTTTATCTCTCCCTCCCT